GCACGCCGCACCATCACACTGACTCAGTCACACATGGTGCAGCGGGTCCTTCAGCGCTTCCGCTTCACCTGGTCCTCGCCACAGTCCACTCCTCTGGCTACAGGTCACTCACTCTCAGCTCCACCTTCGGACGAGTCCATAGAGCCGAGTGGTCCTTACCCAGAGCTAGTGGGCTGCCTCATGTACCTGATGATCTGCACTCGACCTGACCTTGCGTACCCTCTTGGCCTTATGGCTCTCTACATGGCTCCTAGTAGGCACCGAAAGGTGCACTGGGAAGCTGCGAAGAGGGTACTGCGCTACTTGTGCAGTACATCGGGCATGGGGCTCGTGCTTGGAGGACGGGGTGACGTTGTCCTCACTGGACACTCTGACGCGTCTTGGGTTGACGACCTGGCTACGCAGTGGTCGTCACAGGGTTACACCTTCAACCTTGGCTCCGGCTCTGTTTCTTGGCAGTCTACACGCTCGTCTTCTGTTCTCAGCTCCAGTTGTGAGGCTGAGGTCTACGCCACAGCCATGGCTGCACAGGAGTTATGCTGGCTCACCTACCTGCTGACCGACTTAGGAGAGAGGCCTCGTTCTCCTCCAGTTCTGTACGTCGACAACAAGGCTGCCATTGCCTTGTGTGAGGACCACAGACTGGAGCACAGAACGAAGCACATCGCTCTGCGTTACTTCCTTGCTCGAAAGTTGCAGCAGCGTGGTCAGCTTCGTGTCGTTCACGTGCCCACCCGGCCAACCGAGCTGATGTGTTCACCAAGGCCCTTCCGGCTGGTGATCATCAGCGCCTCTGCACTGCTCTAGGCCTGGTGCCTACGTTTCCTCACTTGCTGTAGGCTTTGCTTGTACTGTGATCTATATATATACCTGCATGCTTACTCTTGCTAGGTAGTGATCACTGTACTATTGTTGTTGCATATATGCCTCTGCATGTGAACTGGCCTTGTGGCCCTTTGCTTGTGCTCAGTGTGTGTGGTGACATTGTGATCCACCCTAAGCTTGCTTTGCTTTTCTTGACTGATCTTGTGACCCCTTGCTCTCCCCCACTTTGCCTATGGGGGTGTGTCAAATTATATATGTGATATATATGTGTAGGCTATAGTGGGGTAGCCAATATGGGGTATAGCCCCTTTAGGGTTTCATACTTGTACCCAACTGCCATCTAGTTCATTCATTCCTGCATCTATTTCTGACACGTATAAGGGTTGGAAGGTCAATAGTCGCAATTGTCAACTGTCGTGTCTGTTGACCATCTGGACCGAATGACTCACCAGCGAAGAATGGCAACATGCGTAACTGTTCATACAGTTATGCGCAGCGACTCGATCACAGTAGAAGAGAAATAGTCAGAGTCACTCGAGAAATGTTAGAGTCACTCGAGAAATAAGAGAATGGATCCAGCAATACCCGCAGTGTGAGAGTATGACGGCTTATGCTGGCTTTGCTAGCTTGCTTGGACTTTATTATGCTATTTCTAGCTTAGGTTTATTTTATCATGCATAGATAAGCATGATTTCCTAGGTTAGGTGTATTCCTATACTTTATTATAGTTTAGCACCGAACCAGGTTACGAGTACCAATCTCAAGCCTATTCGGTTTCCACCCAATTGCTTTATACCAAGTTTGAGAAGGTTCTATTTGAAATGCTTCGCGGCCCTCAGAACATTCGCGTAACACCTGGGTTATCTGACTTGTGTCGAGCCTATACATAGCCTCGCCTTGTACCCTGGTGGATTATTCAATTACATCTCTCTTTTTTGAGCTCGATCCTAGATCCTCACACGTAGACCTCCCGATGCACAAGGAGCAAACTCCGAGCGGTCGTTCACCTTCGACAATCGCGGGGCAGAAGGAACTGCACAAGTACAACAAGCACACTACGAGGCAATGGCATCGATACAAAGCAAATTTGTTTCAACATTAAAACTTAGAACGTCCAAGTTCTACACCTGGAGCTTCAAATTCGAGCTCATAGCACAAAGAGCATGGATCTGGATGTACTACGACGGCTTATTATCATTCTCAATCAACGGCTCACCTCGAGGGAAGACCAAGTATTACAACAAGTCGCTACTTGCCTTCACCCTCCTCATCCGGAACCTTACGCCCAAGGAGCAGCTCAGCATCCGCTCCTTCAAGAACAAGTGGGCGCCCACGCAATGGTTTTGGGAACAACTGCGCACCTGCTACATGGCAACGGATTCGGTGACATTTAGTCACCTGCTGAATCAACTGAACAACGTGAGGATGTTTCCCGGAGAAAAAGCCGGACCATACATCAACCGTTGCAGAAACATAAGAGATCAGCTCAAGTAAAGCGACAGCCACTTCCCTGACAACATGTTCGTCACCATCATCCTTGCCGGATTGACTCGGAAATGGCGCCACTGCAATTCGCTTATTTGCACCCAAGGAACGCTCAGCGAAACTTCGCTCTGCGCCTTGCTCCTCGCTGAGCAACAGGAGATTGACTTGTACAACGAGAGAGGCAACAACAAGAAGAAGAAGATCGTGTTTTACAAAAACGTACAAGCGCCAACTTACAGGAAGCAGCTCTTCTACAAGTACTCCAAGAAGACAGGACACATGATCAAGGAATGCTGGAAGCTGAACGGCAACAGCAACAATCACGGATAGAGACAACAAGGAGGAGCAACTTACCAGCAACCCGCAGGAGTTCAAGTGCACAACCAGACGGTATCTCTGCCCGCTGTCGCCAGCACTTCTCAGGCTCCGGCGCGTATCCTTGCAAACACAAATGATTTAGGAAAGAACAAGGTGTTAACCTGCATGGTGCGCCACGGACCTCCCTGACCCAACCGACATTAGCGATTCTTCAGCAGCTGGCAAGACATGTTCGCAGACCCACCTTAAGAGAGGCCTGAAGGTTTGGTCGAAGTAGAAGTAAACAATGACCCCACCTACGACGAGCTGACGGTCGGCCAGATGGAGTATTACTGGCAAACACCGTAGTGGATCCAAGAGTCGTCACATGCACGCATCACACATGACGACGAGGGGGGTGATTACGAGAACGACCACAATATCGACCATCATCTGACTCTGAGACTCGCAAAACTTGCCAAGACCAAGAAAGATGTTAACAAGTGGTACCTGGACAATTGCAAGTCAGCACATGGTCTTGTCAAGTGTTTTCATACTGAACAGTGAAGAACTCTTCAACGAGGTCGAGATCACCGTCGCCAATAACTAGACGATCTACGGGTAGATCCAACTGGAGCCAAACAACACCGGGTACTGCATCCACATCAGTAATGTCCTCGTCGTGCCTGAGCTCTAGCTTAACCTCTTGTCAGCCGCTCAGCTGATGAAGTGCGGCGTCGACCTGCAATCATCTGAAAATGAATTTCACTTTAATATACGAGGGGAACCTTCTCGGAAAGGCGAAGATCGAGAACGGAGTGTTCGTGCTCGCTTTTGATCCATCCAAGACTTCAGGCGACAACGATCAAATTGTCGTTCCCAGGAACATGGAGTCACCAGGAGGAGACGGATTATCAGCGCCCGGGTCTTGATGGAACCTTCTGCGCTCTTGCCATACCCGTTGCCTCAACCACAAACCCTGCGGGCACCATAGGCTATAGAAGAAGAGGGGAAAATCAACTCGGACAGTAACATCGCGGAAAGTTCTCGACAAGAAACATGCCCCAAAGTTCAAACAACCTACCGGCTGGAACACGACCGAAGGATGGGACGCAGTTGACGTCGCATGAATCGCTCACAACGCATCACTAGGAGAAGCCATCGAACCCGAAGGAGGATGGGGTAACATCCCCACAGGATCTGCAATAATGGAAGAAGAAGTAGCAGAGGTTACTCAGGAGGCACCATAAGAAGAGGAGGAAGAATCGCTGATAGAATATGGACCTCACTTCATTCCTATCACAACTAACGAAAAGGATTACCTCCGCATTGAAACAAGGGGAGCAGCGATTGGTGACACCGACTTTGAAGGAGAAGACACACAACCGGAAGATTGCCACCCGAAAATTGTGCCGACGCCTTCTTATGGACCACTAGAGCTTCCCGTGACGATCGACACCACCACCATCGGCGACACCAGCGGAACATATCACGGAGTGAGACTCAAAACACTCCACGCAGCAGCAGTCCAAGTTCTTGTACCGGAAGAACCTGTGGAAGAAGTGGGAAAAGAATCCACAGAGAATTTCGGCTTGAGAGGAGGAGCAGTACGCGTGCACACGAGGATATCGCGCTGATCCCAACATCAGGCATAAACGTCTAGGGCACCTATTAATTGAACTGCTCAACAACTGCATCAACGCAAAAGTATTTGCGGAAGATGCATTGTTGCTGCCGAATAAAAAGCTACTAAATAGAAGAACCAACTTACCCAATTTCACCGTCTGCTCGACAGTTGCGTTACGTCACACTCCGTTTGCCGAGAAGATACCTGGAGCTAAGATACGAGCCACTAGACAAGGTTTACAGCGATTTTTCGGTACTCACGACTAAAGGGCCAGTTGGAGAAGAGGATGGAATCCAGATAATGATCTTCCTCTCCTATGCTCATGAGCAACAGGTACTGGTAGAGAGAACCAATAAGAGCCTCGCGACAAAGATGTGAGCTCTCATGAAGCAGTCAGCTGTGCCAACCAAATATTGGCCCTTCGCAATGGCGCATGCTGTTCAGGGTTTAGAACGAGGAGCACAACTACGCCAAAGATCAGGACGAGGTTAACGTGGCAGGAGAACAACCAGAGGAACTAACTGAAGGGGATGCACCTTTTGTACCCACGGAGGAGTTCGACACAACGGCATTCTTCCCAACCGAGCCTGATCAACACGAAGCAGTACCAGCACAACATAATTATGAAATGCACTCACCCATGGAGGAAGACCCCGCTCGTGACTCTTCTCGCGATGCCATTCGCAACATCCCAAGAGACGACGAAGGTGTGGTAGAAGTTACCAATGCAGCAGAATCCAACCTTACCGGCCTACGCATTCTCGGCCTAGCCATCGCCATCGGGGGTAACCAGCAGCCGGTTGAACCCACCACCGTTTGCTAGGCTCTGCATGGACCCGATGCCAAAAAAAGTCGTTGCACTCCAAAGGCGCGGTACCTGGAAGTTGGTGTCATAACGACACGTAAAGGAGAGGAAAAATCTCACATGATTTTTTTTTTTTTTTTTTTTCAAAATCAAAACACTTGTGGATGGCACCATCGATAATTACATCGCACAATGGGTTCTTTGCTTCTTTGTTCTTTGCGGTCTGTCTCCTCCATGAATCCTTTTACGAGATCAAGCAGGCACCGCGCCTGTGGCAGCAATACCTTCACACCATGCTAATCGAGCTCTGCTTCCAGCAGCTTCCACACGATCAGGGGATGTACTGCCTTGAGTCCCGCAGTAGCTTCATCCTGCTTGTCACCTACGTGGATGACCTGCTCTACACCGGAACAACGTAGAGCTGCTCGACCGCTTTGAGCACTGCATAAAGCAGAAGCTCGAAGTGACGAAGAATCACGTCACCCAATTCCTGGGCCTCAACGTGAGGCAATCGGCCGACACGATGCACCTCTCTGTCACGGAATATGCCGAGACTCTTGCTAAGAGATTCAACACCGCTTTCGTCGGCGTCACAACCCCCTTTCGCATTCCTCCGCCTAATCATGAGAGTGACACCACCCTAATATATCTTGCCGAAACATCGCCCCTACCGACAGCAGCTCGGGTGCCTACTATCGCCGCCGTCACATGCCGCACTGACCTTTCGTACATCGCCAGCCAGCTCGCCCAGTACCTGCGCCGACCTGAAGGGGAGAACATGGCGGACCTGTGACGCGCCCTACAATATTCGTATCTACACTTGACGTCAGCCTCACCTACAAAGCGGAATAAGTGGCTTATCGGCTACGTGGATGAAGACCATGCTGGGGATATTGACAACAGGAGATACTGCACAGGCTTCATCTTCAAGCTTGAGCCTTCGAGAACCATCTCCTAGAACTCACAGAAGCAGGAGCCTATCGCCTTTTCGTCTACCTTATGGAGCTCTTGCAGGAGACGTAAATAGCGATGAATGGGGCATTCAAGTTACTGTGCAACAACAGAGCACGATCAAGATCACGACCAAACCTGGTTTCAGCCTCAAGATCAAGCTCCACGTCCACTTGCACAACAACAACAGCAGCAGAGAAAAGTGACTCAGATGGGAGGAACAAGAAACGTAATCGCCAACATGGCGACACGATGACGCGCAAGAGCTACTATCACTGATGGAGATGAGGAGCCCGCCGGTGAGTTGATACAACCTAAAGTGGACTACAATAATCCCTTCACCAATAGACACGACCACTACGAAGATGAAGATAAGCAACTTTGATACTTACCAATCCAGCTGCGGGAAAGCCTGCCTCACCGCCATGATCAACAACTAGTTCCTCTGGGATGGCACGAGCAAGAAGATTTTCTTACGACTGACACGTCGACCATTGTCACACCGCAACTCGTAAAATACAACGAGCAACAACGAGCAATATAACAGTTGGTATCTGGACAGCTGGCATGGCTGGCACATGGTAAGATCATTGCTCTATATCTTCAATGTCAACGCCACCCCCACTGCCACCTACGTCACCGTCACTAACAACAATCAGCTTCGGGTAAACGCGCGAGGCATTGTCGTGCTTCAGGCTCAAGACAGCAACACGCACATTACCTTCTGCTGATATAACCAAAGAATCATAGTGAATAGGATAAGTCTGCCAAGTCTAGGAGAGACGGTAAGGTCTTTGTAGTGACCTTGTTTGGTAATAGTTGAAAGAGAACAAGATGATTAGAAGATAGGAGTACAAGGGATTAAATAGCAAACTAGCTAGCCATGTACTATGAGTGGTACATTCTCTTATTAACTACTGCTATTCTCGGCAATTACATGTTGCAGCGATCAGCTGTCGTGCGGTTAGTGGTTGGTCAAGAGTCACGACCGTGACTCTCTTCGACTGTTGACCTTCGGGTGACTCTCTACCTTCTGCGTGCTCTATATGAGCTATTGCGGTATTGATACTGTTGCTTCTGCCACCCTTCCCCTCCTTCCCCGTTGCTTCTGCCACCCCTTCCCCTCCCTTCCCTCCCTGTGGTGCGTCCGCAGCAGCACCACCAGCCCCCGCCTCATCGGTCACTGCAGCCACTGCAGTTTGTGCAGCGGCAGCAGGCTCAGAAGCTGCAGCAGCAGCCGCACCACCCGCAGGAGCAGAACCAGAAGCAGCAGCGGTAGGAGGGGCAGCAGGGGGAGCATGCTGGGGAGGCGGGGCAACGTGCAGCAGCACGGCGGAGGAGAGGGTGGCATCAGCAGAGAGGGCGGTGGGGCGGTGCAGGGGCAGGGCGAAGCCGTGCACAGAGGCAGCCCCGTGCAGCAGTGTGACGTGCACGTGCCCCTCCACCACCACTGCCTCGTCCGGGAACAGAATGGCTGAGGCGGAACGAGCGGTGCTGCGCGGTGGGGCGATATTCAAAAGGATGGGGCATGGATGGACTAAAGAAGGGGCGCAGGAGGTGTTCAATGTCAAGAAAAGAGTGTCGGAACAGAGATAATGCAGGTAGCAGGATGGCAAGGACTGCACGGTCTAAGTGCGGAGCGTTCTTACTGCTGCTTTGCATGCCCAAATCACATCACATGACCACATTTGCCGGGCATCTGCAGCCTTTTATAATGAACCATTCGCCCGGATCACACGTGCACCCACCACCACCAGCACTCACGCGTTCACTTGAATCCTGGCTTGCAGCGGCAGCCTCTGTGTGGCCTTGCCCTTTGTGTTGCCCTCCCCCAGCAGCACCTTCTCCAGCCTGCCATCCGCCACGCCATGCGCCATCGCATGCACACGACTCACCACCTCCCACTCCGGACCCCCGCCGCCCTTCTCCCCAACCCCCCCTCCCCCCACACCGCCCCCTCCCCCCACACCGCCTGCTCCCGCGCCACCAGCAGCCAGCTTCTTAAGCAGCTTCAGAAGAGCCTTCTGCATGCCCTGCACGCGCCGCTCCTGCCTCTCCTCACGCCTCTCCTGCGCCGCCTCCTGCTCCTGCACCACTCTCCGCCGCTTTGCATCCCTCTGCTCCGCCTCAAACCGCTCTTTCTCCACCCGCAACCGCTCTCTCTCCGCCCGCCGCCGCCTCTCCTCCGCCCTCCTCTCCCTCGCTCTCAGCTTGTCTGCTTTAGCCTTCCCCAGCTTCTCCTCTCGCTCCTTCTGCTCGGCCTTCTTCGCTCGTTTCCTCGCCTTTGCTGTCGCTGCCCCCGCATTCAGCACTGTCTTGGTGCCTGCGCCTCCCCCCTCCGCGCCCCCCCTTGCGCCCCCCTCCCCCTCCGCCTCCCCCTCCGCCTCTTCCCCCCCGTCCGCCACCACGTGGCGGAACCACTCCTCTCCTGCTGCGGCCCCCCCTCCCCATCCGCCTCTTGCCCCTCGCCTGTCTCGCTGCCACCCCTCTCCTCTCCCTCCTCCATTTCCTCCTCATCCTCACTCTCGCTCCCCTCACTCTCACTCCCTTCATTGTCATTTTCCTCACTATCGCTCTCACTCCCCCCACTCTCACTCTCACTCTCACTCGCACCATTCTCCTCCCCAATCCGCACAGCATCACTGCCCTCTTCTGACCGCTCCTCCCCCCCATCTGAGCCCGAGTCCAGACCCAACGACCCGCTGCCCCCGCCACTGCTGCCGCCCTCCTCCCCGCTCACGTCACTCATCACCACCACCCTTCCTCCCACCTCCTGTCCATCCTTGCCCCCCTCATCCTCTTTCCCCGCCGTTCCTAGACCTTCCCCCCTCCCTTCTGCCACCCTTTCCCCTTCCCCTCCCCCGATCACGCCACCTTTCTCCGCCTTCCCTTTTCCCGTATCCGCCTCCCTCCTTGTTCCCCCCGCGCCCACTCCCCGGCCCAGCGCGCCCTTCCCCCCATCGCTCCCTCCTTGCGCGCCATTTACGCCTCCCCTGCGCGCGTTCACTGCGATTCCCACCCGCCCTCCGCCCGACTTCCGCGCTGCCCCCATCTGCTGTTTCCCCCCGCGCTTCCGCTTCTTCCCGACTCCCCCCGTCGCGCCAACTCCCCCCACAGTGTTGCCGCCCCGCGCCCCGCCTCTAGTGCTCCTCCGCATCCCAGCTGCGCTCACTCCCCCCGATCGAGTACTTTCCTTCCCCGTTTTCCCCCGATTCGCTTTCCTGGCATTCCCCGCATGCGCGTTTCCAGCATTCCCCGTGTGCAGAGAGCTGCCCGCGGCCTTCCTCGCCCGCGCCAGCGCGCTTGAAAAAACTGACTGTTGGTCGGTGCAAATTCTGGTAGGCTAATTACTACAAAACGGGCTGCCCAGCTGCGGTCCGTTTGAGGCTCGAACGGCTAGGGGTTTCCCTAGGGCTTTGAAGAATGGTGCTTCAGCCCATCACAGCTATCCTCTTCAATGAGATAAATCGGACGAAATTTGAGTAGGTAGGCCAAGGAATGTCTTAGGGTATATAATTTATAAATATATAAATATATAACAGCCATTCTGGTTGTGGTTTTGTATAGAAACTTATCAAACTGGTATAAAATCTCATGCCAACCGTTCTAATAACTGATTATTCATACTCCTTAACAATTGTTGAAACCAGAAGTATAAATGGTTCGATCAAGTGCCTCATGTTACATTTACCGTACAATGCTTTCAATCATCAAACTGCATAACATAGCGTAATTCCATGGATATACGTGCGCATGCGCTTCAATCTGGAGCATTACGTTATGATCGGTACTCAATCATTAGTGAGAAGGCATTTCCTGTAAATTAATGAAACTTAAGGAGAAGGCACTCCTGTACGCCGCAGGAGCCGACTCTACCGAGCACGAAGTCGAGGAGTCAAAAGAATCGAAGCGACACCAGCAACCGTCAGATCAAGACCGATGCAGGCAGGAATATTTGTAATGAAAAGAGCGAGAACTGGTTTTTAAACCGGTTTTCTGTGCCGCACGGTTTGAATAGGTACCGTATTCTCCCGGATATAGGACCCTCCCGAAAAAAAGACCCCCGGGACTTTTGAACGGTACTGGGCAGGCCCTCAGATTGGTTTGAGAGTATGCTGATGGATCAGCGTGCCCCGGCCAACGAGGTGTCCAAATCAGCGTTCACGGATTTTTTTTTTACTGATTTTGCCAGTGTGAAAATCATAAGTAAACTGAACCAACAGTGTAAAAAAAAACTAATAGCTGAAACACTAGTGCAAGGTGTGTGCTGTTGTTACTGTGATACCGTAGGTTCCAGCGAGGCGAAAGATATCAGGTCCACACACTTCGGAGCGCACCTGATACAGTATCTGCGCAGCACATGCGAAGTGTGTGGGTTTCGTGACACGGAAAGGTATAGTCTGTACATGCGTACCTTACCCCCCCCCCCCCCCGCGCGGTCAAGTCCGTTTCAGGGTGACGCACTGAAGTATGCTGATTCGTCAGTGTTACTTGTTCAGAAACACACATAATCGTCAGTGTGGCAAAATCAAATATACTGAAATTTCAGCCCATAATGGAAGCATTTACTGATTTTTCAGGGAAAACGAAATTCAGAGCTACAAAATCAGCGTAATCAGCGTGTTTTACGCTGATATCTGAGGCCCTGGTACTGGGACTCTTAATTTGTAGCATATATGAGAGGACCCCCCTTTTGCTATAAAACAATATAAGCCCCCCCCTTTTCTGTATACAGTAGTTAAAATAGAATATGCGCGTCAGCTTTTAGAGGCACAGAATCCAAAACCTGACGCGTCATTTGTGTTAGAATCGGGTTCTGACACACCAATCGTGTCAGATACGAGATCTGACACTTCTAACGCGCCACTCGCGCGAATTTCGCACACGCGAATTTTTTTCGGTTCGAACATAAGACCCCCCACCCCCCCCCCCCCCCCCCCCCCCCCCCCCCCCCCCCCCCCCCCCCCCCCCCCCCCCCCCCCCCCCCTTTCAAATCAAGTGTACACCCCTACATCGCATAACTGTACTTGATAAATAAGTGTACCCGGGACTCTTACAACTCGTGCCGATTAAATGTTCACCCCCACGCAGGCTCAGCACCCTCAGACTCGGCACCCCCAGGCTCAGCACCTCCAGGCTCCTCACGCTCAGGCACAGCACCCCCAGACTCCGCACCCCCAGGCTCAGCACCCCCAGGCTCCTCTCGCTCAGGCTCTGTGCCCCCAGGCTCAGCACCCCCAGAGACAGCACCCCGAGTAGGACTACCCCCAGCAGGACCTCAGTCACCAGTGACCTCAACGGGCGCAAGCACAGGAGGATCTACCTGAGAAACACCTGAAGGAGCAGGACCTGGCGCGGGGAGGGGGTCTACCTGGGAAGGACCTGGAGCGAGAAAGAGCGGCGGGGGGGGGCGAGGGGCAGTGCGGTAGGGAAAGAGACGGTAAAAGGGGACGGACTCGTCAAAAGTGACGTCCTGAGACGCAAAGACACGGCGCGAGGTGGGTCGCAAAACTGCCAGCCAGGCGGGTCAGGAGGAAAACCAAGGAAGACGCAGGGAATGGCGTGGGCATAGAGCTTTTCCGCGGTGAGATCGCGGACAAAGGCACGAGCACCCCAGACCCGGAAACGCGACGCATCGCCAACCTCCCCCGTCCACAGCAGTGTGGGCGAGGAGACATAGGGTCAGAGGTTGAGCTGATGCGCAGTGTACCGGACCGCAAACGGCCACAGAAAATGGGGAGCTGCCGCATGGATCATGGAGGTACGAGCGACCTCCATGACTAAGCCAATGCGGCGCTCAGCAACCCCATTTTTCTGCAAAGAGGCCGGAAGCGTGAACGACTGGGTGATGCCATGCTCCTCACAGAAGGCTCGAAAGGGGTCGGAGGTGAACTCACCACCTCTGTCAGAGTGCAGACGCAAGACAGGAAAGTCCCGCTCAAACCGCTCGCGGAGCTGGAGACGAACAGCGCGGATCCAAGGGATCAGGACAGCAGGGACATCCGCCTTGCGCTGCAAGGGGAAGACCGTGGTGTAACGCGTGTAGTCGTCGACAACCAACAGGAAGTACCGCTCGCGGCCCTGTCCCTGGACGCGGGCTGGGCCCCACACGTCCAGGTGGAGAGTCTGCAGCGGAGCCTCTGTGGGAGGGAACGAGGAGGAGTGAGGAGCGGTGCGCTGCCGCCCCTCGACGCAAGGAATGCAGGGCGGCGCAGGCAAGGGAGGGAGGGCAAGGAAGAGACCTAGGAAGACCAGAGACCAGGGAGCGAGAGTACATGCCACGAAGGCGAGGCAGGGAGGGGTGACCAAGGCGGTGGTGCCACAGGAGAGTGTCGTGCGACAGGCGACGACACTCACACTGGGTAGCTACATGAGCAGACGCGTACAGCTGAGGAGACAAAGTGGCGTGACGCGACACAGTGGTGAGGGTGTACAGACTGGACCCAGGCGCACGTGTGAACGTGGCCAGGTGGCGGCCGGTCCGAGAGCACGTGCAGTGTGTCACCCGCTGTCCTCCAGGAGTAAAGGTGTCAACCCAGTGATCCTGAAGGACGGCGGTGCTCACCAAGTTCGTAGAGAACGAGGGGAGGTGGAGACCAGACAGCTCACCAGACGAGACCGGCAGACACGGAAGCACAGTGGTAGTCCGTGCAAGCACTGGGCGCCCAGAGCGGTCAGCCAGTGAGACAAGGATAGGTGTAGGGAGGGGTGTGACTGTGGTACTGTCGCGAAAGAAACAGCGGGAAGCACCAGAGTCAAGTGTAAAGGTGTGCAAGGCCTGAGCGGGCACAGTACCAGGGAGAGCAGACTCACTAGCACCTAGGGCTGCAGGCGCTATACCTGGGTCTATACCTTGGTCTATACCTGGATCAAGCGGCACACACAAGTAGCAGTCACCCTCAGCAATACCAGTCATAGCATACATGGCAGTAAGGATAGTGTCATAGTCTAGAGCAAATATATCTACTCCGTCTCGAAGCAGCTCTAGCCAGAGGGGTAGCTCAGTCTCGTCGCCAAACCGTGCTCGCCAAGCGTCGCTCAGACGGGAGAAGCAGCGGGACTCTGTGTGACTAACTGTCCCGCAGGTCTGACCAGCCCGATCACCTGTGCGAATGACGTACGGGCAGTGAGCAGTAGTCCTACACCCCCAACTCTGAGCGTACCACTCATGCAGCTGCCGGGGCATAAGGGTCTCGCGCGGGCACCGCTGCAGCTGCATCTGGCCACCGCCAGAAACTCCGCACTGACCAGCTCCACCACGACTGCTACCACGGGCGCCGCCACCTCTCCGAGATGCACAACGCTGAGCGTACCATTCATTTAGCTGCTGGGGTGTAAGGGTCTCGCGCGGACGCCGCTGCAGCTGCAGCTGCATCTGGGCCAAGCCACTAAGTTTTGTTTTCCTTTGTATTCCTATATAAACTCGATGTATGCATGCTTTTATTATCTCGATCAATTTACATTCTCTCCGACCTGACTGGAGGTCCATTCTTCCGCTACAACATCACATGCGAAATGATTTTATTATTCTTCCGCTACAACATCATCATTTTACATTCACTCTGACTTGAGGTCCACTCTTCCGCTAAAGCACCACATGTGAACATCCTTGAGCCGATCCCTGTCTAAGTCATGCTTATGATTGTAACATGATAAGAGTGCCACTCACGGATTCTTCCCCACCCCTCCTTCCATAAAAGTCGCCGAACCCAAGCTAGCGAGCAGCACACTCTCCAAAACCAAGATGGCTCGAGTATGTGAAGGCCAAGCCAATCTAACGGTTGAAGGTCAAACCAACCCGGCCACGACAACCGAGGCGTCAATTACGATCAGCACTCGAGCAACTGTTCCAACAACCATCAACAATGGAGAAATACCTCCAAGCATTGCGAAATGGCGACGTAAGAACCTCAACACAACATGTTGGAGCATAAGGGGATTTAAGCATTCCCACAAGGAGCGAGCTGTATCGCACCCATCACCATCGAAGCATTGTTAGCAATAGTATTGGATCAGCCCACATTGTTAAATTATACATGTGCTATATATATGTGTAGGCTGTAGTGGGGTAGCCAATATGGGGTGTAGCCCCTTTAGGGTTTCATACTTGTACCCAACTGCCATCTAGTTCATTCATTCCTACTTCTATTTATGACATGGTATTCAGAGCAATAGGTCCGTAGGACCGTTTTTTTTTTCTTCTTCTTCTTCTTCTTCTTCTTCTTCTTCTTCTTCTTCTTCTTCTTCTTCTTCTTCTTCTTCTTCTTCTTCTTCTTCTTCTTCTTCTTCTTCTTCTTCTTCTTCTTCTTCTTCTTTCTTCTTCTTCTTCTTCTTCTTCTTCTTCTTCTTCTTCTTCTTCTTCTTCTTTCTTTATTTTTTTCGGGCCCACCTACCGTTGCGGTTACCGAGCTACCTCACGCACTGCCCTGCGCTGCGCCCCTCGCGTGCGCTCTGCCGTGCGCTACGCTCTAGCGCGCTGTGCCCTGCTTTGACCTGCGCTGCGCTGCTCGCGCGCGCCCTGCCCTGCTGCCCGCGCGTCGCCCGCTAGCAGCCCGCGTGCCGCCCGCGCGTCGCCCGCTAGCAGCCCGCGCGCCGCCCGCGCAGCCCTCGTGCAGCCCGCTGCTGCCCCGCACGCCGCTCGCACAGCCTTCGCACGGCCCGCTGCTGCCCCGCGCGCCGCCCGTGCACGCTCGTGCAGCCCGGTGCTGCCCCGCGCGCCGCCTCAGCCGCCCGCGCCCGGCCCGCTGCTGCCCCGCGCGCCGCCTCTGCTGCTCGTGCAGCCCCCGGCTGCCCCGCGCGCCGCCTTACCCGCCCGCACGCCGCTTCAGCAGCCTCCGCGCGCCTTGCGGCTGCCCTGCACGCCGCCCTAGCCGCTTGCGCGCCGCCCCAGCAATTTGATCGCCGCCACGGCAGACCTGCGCGCGGCTTCTTCCGGCCTGCTCTCTACTTTGCCGCCTGCGCGCTACACTTACCTGCGCTGCAATCATGGCGACTCTGAATGTCCTCGCTTTCGATCCTGACAATCGCCCGATTGAATTTGCTACTTGGTTAGACGACCTGCAACTGTTTCTTATGACTGATGCCAAAGATGGCGTGTCCTTGTACGATCACGCGTCTCGCCCTTCCATTGCTCCTGCCGATACTGCTGCTGCTCTCGACCGCTCACAGTGGCAGACTCGTAATGCTGCTGCGCGCCTCGCTATTTGCAACCATCTGCCGATCACTGAGCGCGCGCATTTTAGCCAGCACAAGACTGCGAAGGCACTGTACGACGCTGTAGTTGCCCGCTACTCTTCCCCAGCCACTGCAGCCCTAGGTCGTCTTCTCCTACCCTACCTGTTCCCCGACCTGTCCTCGTTTACCATAACTGAGGACCTCATCTCCCACTTTCGCGCTAGTGACGTTCGCTTTCGTGCCGCCCTTTCAGAGGAGTTCCTCGCCGAAAATCCCCCCCCGATGTACTTCACTCTCTACTTCCTCGTCACCCGCCTCCCTGACACTCTTCGCTCAGTCAGGGACCACTTTCTCGCCCTAGACCCTACCACTCTTACTGTTGCCGACTTCGAGAAGCACCTCCTAGCAGCCGAAAAGAACATTCTCGCTGTAGGTGCTGCTCGTGGCACTCCTCGCACTCCCCTCTTTGAGGGGTGCTCCCCCTCCCCTCTTGCCCCCTCCTACGCCTCTGCTGCTGCTGCTGCTGCTGCTGTCCACTTCCTTCGTGCTGAGGAGGTCGGGGCTGCTTCCGCTCCTAGTGGGAAGCGCAGTGGCGCCAAGGGCAGCAGGGGTGGCAGGGGAGGTGGAGGTGGCGGTGGAGGGGGCGGTGGTGGAGGCGGCGGGGGAGGTGGAGGTGGTGGGGGTGGTCGTGGGGGTGGAGGTGGTGGTGGGGGCGGCGGTGGTACCGGGAGCAGTGGCGGTGGCAGCGGCGGTAGTGGGGGAGGAGGGAGCGGTGGTGGCAGCGGTGGTGGGGGCTGGAGTGGAACCGGCCAGAAGGGGGGCTCCAGTGGTGGCCGGGGGCAGCAGCAGCAGCAGCCGCAGCAGCAGCAACAGCAGCAGCCGCAGCAGCAGCAGCAGCAACGTCAGCGCCAGACCCCCACGTCTCAGCAGCTTCATGACTGGTACGCTCAGCGTGGGGCGTCTGGGGGTCCTGCTCGATGCCCCTATATCATTCGCACAGGTCCCCGCGCTGGTCGCCCATGCAACGGTTTTCACACTGAGTACCGCTGCTTCTCTCGGCTTAGCGACGCCTGGCGCGCCAAGTTTCCTGAGGCTACTGAGTTTCCCCCCTGGGCAGACCTACTTAGGCGTGATGTTCCTATCTTTGATCTTGACTATGATGCAATTCTTGCTGCCATGTATGCATTGACAGGTAGTGCTGAGGGTGACTGCTACTTGTGTATGCCGCATGATCCTAGGTATAGAGGCTGCAGCCCTAGGTGCTAGTGAGTCTGCTCTCCCTGGTACTGCGTCGGCTCAGGCCTTGCACACCTTTACACTTGACTCTGGTGCTTCTCGCTGTTTCTTTCGCGACAGTATTACAGTCACTCCCCTCCCTGCACCTGTCCCTGTCTCACTGGCTGACCCCTCTAGGGGCCCAGTTCTTGCATGGTCCACCACTGTGCTTTCGTGCTCGGCGGTGCCGTCCGGTGATCTGTCAGGTCTCCACCTCCCGTCGTTCTCTACAAACCTGGTGAGCAACGCCGTCCTTCAGGATCACTGGGTTGACACCTTTACTCCTGGAGGACAGCGTGTGACGCACTGCACGTGCTCTCGGACCGGCCGCCACCTGGCCATGTTCATACGTGCGCCTGGGTCCAGTCTGTACACCCTCACCGCTGTGTCGCGCTACACCCCTTTGTCTCCTCAGCTGTACGCGTCTGCTCAGGTAGCTACCCAGTGTGAGTGTCGCCGCCTGTCGCACCAGACTCTCCTTTGGCACCACCGCCTTGGTCACCCCTCCCTGCCCCGCCTTCGTGGCATGCACTCTCGCTCCCTGGTCTCTGGTCTTCCCAGGTCTCTGCCATCCCTCCCTCCCTCGCCTGCGCTGCCCTGCATTCCTTGCGTCGAGGGGCGGCAGCGCACCGCTCCTCACTCCTCCTCGTTCCCTCCCACAGAGGCTCCACTGCAGACTCTTCACCTGGACGTGTGGGGCCCAGCCCGCGTCCAGGGGCAGGGCCGCGAGCAGTACTTCCTGCTGGTCGTCGACGACTACACGCATTACACCACGGTCTTCCCCTTGCAGCGCAAGGCGGATGTCCCTGCTGTTCTGATCCCTTGGATCCGCGCTGTTCGTCTCCAGCTCCGCGAGCGGTTCGAGTCGGACTTTCCTGTCTTGCGTCTGCACTCTGACAGAGGTGGTGAGTTCACCTCCGACCTCTTGCGAGCCTTCTGTGAGGAGCACGGCATCCGCCAGTCGTTCACGCTTCCGGCCTCTCCGCAGCAGAATGGGTTTGCTGAGCGCCGCATTGGCTTGGTCATGGAGGTCGTTGGTACCTCCATGATCCATGCAGCTGCCCCCCATTTTCTGTGGCCGTTTGCGGTCAGGTACGCCGCGCATCAGCTCAACCTCTGGCCCTGTCTTTCAGTGCCGGAGACTTCGTCCACACTACGTTGGACGGGGGAGGTTGGCGATGTGTCGCGTTTCCGGGTCTGGGGTGCTCGTGCCTTTGTCCGCGATCTCACCGCGGACAAGCTCTCTGCTCGCGCCATTCCCTGTGTCTTCCTTGGCTTTCCTCCTGACGCGCCTGGCTGGCAGTTTTACGACCCTGCCTTGCGCCGTGTCTTTGCGTCTCAGGACGTCACCTTCGACGAGTCGGTCCCCTTTTACCGTCTCTTTCCCTACCGCACTGCCCCTCTTCCCCCTCCGTCGCTCTTTCTCGCTCCAGGTCCTCCCCAGGTAGACCCCCTCCCCGCTCCAGGTCCTGCTCCTTCAGGTGTGTCTCAGGTAGACCCTCCCTTGACTGAGTCTATTGAGGTCACTGGTGACTCAGGTCCTACTGGGGGTGGTCCTGTTAAGGGTGCTGAGCCTGAGGGTGCTGAGCCTGGGGGTGCGGAGCCTGGGGGTGCTGAGCCTGAGCGTGAGGAGCCTGGGGGTGCTGAGTCTGGGGGTGCGGAGCCTGGGGGTGCTGAGCCTGAGCGTGAGGAGTCTGGGGTTACTGGGTCTGGGGGTGCTGAGTCTGGGGGTGCTGAGCCTGAGGGTGCTGAGGCTGCTGGTAAGCGGTCTCCTTGGAGTGGCTGCCTACGTAGTCACACTCGTCGGCGTGAGCCTCTCTCCCCACAGCAGCTACACGAGTGGTACGCTCGCCGTCAGGGTCGCGCTGCTGGAGATCGGTGCTCCACCACTGGTGGCGCTTCTGTCAAACATTATATGTGTTGTGTTTGTGTAGGCTGTAGTGGGTTAGCCTATAAGGGGGTCACAACATTAGGGTTTCATATTTGTACTCACAATCCTTTCTAGTTCACCATTCCAGTCCGTTATCACTGACATGGTTTCAGAGCAGGTCCGTCGCTAGGACTGTTCTTAGGGCCCACCTACCTACCTACCTACCTACTGTGCGCCTCGTGCGCCTGCGCGTCCTAGAGCGCGCCTTACCTTCCTACCACGCGCACGCAGCTCGCTAGCCGCCCGCGCGTGGCTTTCCTTTTTTTTACCGCGCGCGCTGTACTAGCCGCTCTCGCGCGACCGTTTTCACGCGTGCGCCCCGCCAGCTGCCCGCGCGCGCCTTATTTTCTTCGCGCGCGGCCCGTCGCACTGCCTCCCCGCTGCCCGCGCGCCTTTGCGCTGCTGCCCGTGCGCCTCGTGGCCTCGCGCACTGCCCGCCGCTGCCCTGTGCGCCACGCTGACGCACCCGCTGCTGCAGCCGCCCGTCGCCTGCTCGCGCACGCCCCGCAGGCCCGCAGCCGCCCGTCGCCTGCTCGCGCACGCCCCGCAGCCGCTCGTCGCCTGCTCGCGCACGCCCCGCTGCCCGTAGCCGCCCGTGCGCCGCTGCCACTGCCGCACGTGCGCATACGCAGCTGCCGCCCGTGCGCTGCTTCCGCTGCTGCTTGCGCACCGCCGCCTCCTGCCGTCGCCGCACGTGCACTGCTGCCGTCAGTGCGCCGTTGCAGCTCCTGCTGCCACGCTCCCTACTACTGCCGCTCGTGTGCCACTACGGACAGTCGACCCCGCCCGCGCCTTACCTAGCGGCCCCGCCGGCCCCGTTGACCCTACGCACACCTTTCCAGCGGCCTAGTTCCTACTCCTACTACTGTCACTATGGCTAGTCCTCCCGTTCTAGCTTTCGATGCCGAGGGCCGTCCGGTGAAGTTCGAAACCTGGCTAGATGACCTGCACCTGTTCCTACAGCTCACTGCCAAAGAAGACATCTCGCTGTACGACCACGCCCTAGGCCATGCTACTGCCCCTGACACGTCTGCTGACAGCACTCTACGCTCTCAGTGGCAGACTCGTGATGCGCACGCTCGCTTTGCTATTCGCAACTCCCTGCCGCTAGACGAGCGCGAGCACTTCGGCCAGTGCAAGACTGCTAAGGACCTCTACACCGCTGTAGTTGCCCGTTACTCCTCACCCGCTTCTGCTACGCTAGGCCGCCTCACTCTCCCCTACCTGTTCCCCGACCTAGCCTCCTTTCACACTGTCGCAGACCTCATCACCCACCTTAAGACTAGTGAGGCCCGCTTTCGCGCTGCTATGCCTGCCGAGTTTCTCACTAGCAACCCCCCCCGCTCTGGATCACTCTCTACCACATCGTCACCCGCCTCCCTGACTCTCTGCGCGCAGTCAGGGACCACTTCCTCTCTCGCTCCCCCACTGAGCTCACTGTTGCCCTCCTCGAGAAGGAACTGCTTGCAGCTGAGGCGAGCATCGTCGCTGTAGGCACCTCTCGTGGCGACCCCCGCACCCCGTTCTTCGAGGGGTGTTCCCCTTCCCCCCTCCTCCCCTCTGTCGCCTCTGCTGCTGCTGTCGACCTCCTTGGTGCTGAGAAGGTCGGGACCGCGTCTGCTTCGAGCGGGCGCCGCAGGAGCAAGGGAGGCAGGGGTGGGGGTGGTGGCGGAGGAGGTGGGGGTGGAGGCGGTGGGAGTGGAGGCGCGACTGGGGAGGCTAGTGGCGGCAGTGGGGGAGGAGACAGCAGCGGCGGGAGCGGTGGCAGGGGTGGAGGCGGCAGCGGAGGTGGAGGTGGTCGTGGCGGCGGCAGGGGTGGAGGTGGCCGAGGCGGTGGTGGTGGCGGTGGTGGTCGTGGAGGCACTGGCAGAGGCCCGAGTCAGCAGCCCGCCCCGACGCTTCAGGCCGCCCGTGAGTGGTATGCGCAGCGTGGCTTTACCTGCACGTACGTCATTCGCACAGGTGACCGCAGCGGCCAGCAGTGTGGGAGGCCGCACCCCACGCACCGCTGCTTCGCGCGCCTTAACGACGCGTGGCGCACCCAGTTTCCTGATGCCGCTGAGCTGCCGCGCTGGGCTGATCTGGAAAAGAGGGGTATTGATATTTGGGCTCTAGACTTTGATGCTATTCTCACTGCCATGTATGCCATGTCTATTAGTGGAGAGGGTGCTCAGTACTTGCGTGTTCCGCCCGACCCGGGCATTCAGGCCAGTCCGGCTGCCGCTCTAGGTGCTAGTGCGTCTGCTCCCACAGGTCCTGGTGAGGCTGCTGCCCTAGGTGCTAGTGCGTCCGTGCCCCCTGGTACTGAGTTGACTGCAGCACTGCACACCTTCACACTGGACTCAGGTGCCTCTCGCTCTTTCTTTCGTGACCGCACTGTCCTTGAGCCACTCGCTCGGCCAGTTGCTGTCTCCCTTGCTGACCCCTCTGGGGGTCCGGTCATTGCGACCTCCTCCACTGTTCTTCCTTGTCCTGCGGTCCCGTCCGGCACGCTTTCAGGTCTCTACCTCCCCTCGTTCTCTACGAACTTGGTGGCGGGTTGTGCGCTCCAGGACTCGGGTGTTCACCAGTTCACCCCTGCCTACGAGCGCGTGACACACTGCACATGTGCTCGGACGGGTCGCCACCTGGCTACTTTCACTCGAGAGCCGGGGTCGGACCTGTACACACTGACCACTGAGTCCCCTTAGGTAGCTGCGTCTGCGTCTACGTCTGCGTCTGCGTCAGGTCAGCTGTCCGCCCCCTGCTCGTGTCGCTCTCTGGCGCATGAGACTGTCCTTTGGCACCACCGCCTTGGTCACCCGTCTGTGCAGCGCCTTCGGACCATGCACAAACGGGACCTTGTTGCTGGTCTTCCCAGGGTGCTCCCTCCCCTTCCCGACTCGCCTGCTCCTCCCTGTATTCCCTGTGTCGAGGGGCGGC